TGTCGCTCCCCCTCTTCGTGGAGGAACGACACAGGACCCTGCGCTGTTCTTTCGTCTGCTCGGCCCTCCCCGGGTTTGCTGCTGGTTCTTCCCGGGTTGGCTACTGTCCCTTCCACCTCCGTGGAAGGGCAGTTCCCCCTGGCCACATTCCCCACTTCCGCAGGGGAGCGGCACACCGCCGGCCGGCTCTCTCGGGGGCTGCACAGGTGTTCCTTCAGATGTTCCCCTTAGATGTTCCCCTTAGATGTTCCTGGTGCATGCCATCTCTCTCCTCCTTTATAGTCCTCCTCTGCCAATCCCAACTCGGCTGCCCACACGCCGAGTACGCTGCTCTCCTCCAATCAGGAGCAAGTCCTACAGTTTATTGGTTGAACTGGAGGCAGCTGTGTAGAAGCTGTTTTCTTCTCTCCCAGCGCCATATTGTGGGAGAGCAGATGCATAGAATAAGTCTTAATTCCAGTAACAGTCTAGTCCGGGTTGCTCCCCACAGGGGGCATTGAGGCACAGCAGGTAAAGCCACTGCCTGTGATGCTGGCATCCCATATGGGTGCTGGTTCAAGTCCCAGCTGCTCCACTTCTTTTCCAGCTCCCTGCTAATATGCCTGTAAAAGTAATAAAAGCTGGCCCAAGTGCTTGGGCCCCTGCACCTGCACCCACGTGGGAGATCCAGAAGCTCCTGGCTCCTGGCTTCAGACTGGCCCAGCTCTGGACTTTGTGGCCATTTAGGGAGTGAGCCAGCAGATGGAAGATCTCTCTCTCTCTCTCTCTCTCTCTCTGTAACTCTGCCTTCCAAATAAATAAAATAAATCTTTAAAAACAAAAAAAGAGGAAGTAGCAGTAGTGGAGCTGGCACTCAAATTCAGAGGCGCCCTTATGGGCTACAGGCATCCCAAGTGGCGTCTTAGCTGTGTACCGAAAGTCTGCCACATCGTACCTCTGCGTGCAGCTGTTTCCTGTTTCCTCCCACTGGGAGAGAAACGTCATTAGACTACACACCTTGACCCCCACGTTCTTGGCTGGATCCCCAGTGTCTACAACAGTGCCTGGCGCATACTGAGTACTCAAAAAGTCATTCAAGTTGACAAATGTCTACTGAGTACCAACAAAGTTTAGGCACTGGACTGTAACAGTAGACTACAGTAAAAAGACGTTATTAAGGTTGGTGCTGTGGTGTAGTAGGTTAAACCTCCTCCTGCATCCCATATGGGCGCTGGTTCGAGTCCCGGCTGCTCCACTTCCCATCCAGCTCCCTGTTAATGCACCTGGGAAAGCAGTGGAGAATGGCCCAACCTGCACCCACGTGGAAGACCCAGAAGAAGCTCCTGGCTTTGGATCGGCCCACCTCCAGCCATCACGGCCATTTGGGGAATGTACGAGCAGATGGAAGACCTCTCTCTGTAACTCTGCTTTGCAAACAAATAAATAAAAATATTTAAAATAAAAACAAAAGACATTATCTCTGCTCCCAAAGAGCTTTTTAGTCAACACACCAAGCGTTGACTAAAAAGGTGCAGCAATGAATGCTTCAACAAAGGTTCTGTTCTAAGCATCTAACAGGTAAGGGTTACCTTCAAGCTGCCAACAACGCCATGGGGGAAGTACTATTCTCTTACAGATGGGCAAGTCAGGCGCGGACAGGTTGTCACTCGGTGGAGGTCCTGCAGCTCATGACGGCAGAACCAAGATCCAAACCCAGACGCTCTTGGTACAAAGTCCGTGCTCTCGTTAAGAGCTGCACCTCACATTTGCTGAGTGTCAAATAACTCCTCGGTCAGCACCCTCTGCAGCTGTTCCCTGCAGGCAGCGATGGAAAGGGAGCAGCCCCACCAAGGCCCGGCCGTCCTGTCCCATGAGCACAGGGACCCGAGACTGCGGGGTTGACCCCCAACTTGGCCCGTGGAGGGCAGTCTGCAAGGGAGTGGAGTGAGGAAAACACAGGGCCAGGGCCAGGACTCCTTGCTTCTAGCTTTAGGTCAATGAGACACCCAGGCCAGACACCCAGCATGTGATTGAGTGTACACATCGTGCAGGTGTGGGTCCAGACGCCACGGGGAACACAGACGAATCTCGTGGCGATCCCGGCCTCCTGCCCATACACAGGGAGCAGAAACACAAGCAGGACGGGCAGCCTAGGAAAATGTCCACACCGCAGTGGGTCTTCCAAGGAGTCTTCCATGTCTACTCCACCACAGAGCAGGGGGCTGGCTATGCAAACCCCCAAGGTCCCCTCATTCTGACATGCTCTGACAGCACACAACTGGAGCAGTACAGAAATCAAGTTTTGTTCCGCTTAACAGCTCAAGTTCACAGCCACTGGGATGTTCTCCACCTCCCCTGAGGACCGTTTCAATTCGTGGTTCTTAGTGAGCGTCTTCCCATTCAGACAGGGCATAACGCCTCCACGCAAGCAAGCAGGAATGAAGTCCGGTGTGTTCTGCCCTCCTCCTCCGCCTCTGACCGACGCTGAGGCCCACAGACCTCTCCCGTCGCCGGGCGCACACGGTTACAAAGCGGACACTGCTCTGAGTTAAACCTTCAGATCCGCAGACTGTGTGTGGGCTCAGACAGGTGTCTGACCTGGTCCTGGACCCCAGCACGGTGTCTGAGTCACCAAAGAGTCTGAACGAGGCTTCCTGAACGAAACCTGAGCGCGGTAGCTCTAGGGATCAGTGACTAGACCAGAGCCCCCAGTCGGTGCTCCCCAGAGGTTCGCTTTTCGGCTCTCAGCCTCTCCTGGGGAGCACGCTGACCCCACGGCTTCAGTTCTGCTGCTGCCCTGCTGCTTCCGCCCACCGGAGTTTTCCTGACGAACACCCCTGCCTGCACTCCTGTTCCCCGCATCCAGTCTCGGCAGCAGCCACAACACCTTATAAAACTTGAATCAGGCCGGCGCTGCGGCTCACTAGGCTAATCCTCCACCTTGCGGTGCCGGCACACCGGGTTCTAGTCCCAGTCGGGGTGCTGGATTCTGTCCCGGTTGCCCCTCTTCCAGGCCAGCTCTCTGCTGTGGCCAGGGAGTGCAGTGGAGGATGGCCCAGGTGCTTGGGCCCTGCACCCCATGGGAGACCAGGAGAAGCACCTGGCTCCTGCCATCGGATCAGCGTGATGCGCAGGCCGTGGTGCGCCAGCCACGGCGGCCATTGGAGGGTGAACCAACGGCAAAAGGAAGACCTTTCTGTCTCTCTCTCACTGGCCACTCTGCCTGTCCAAAAAAAAACAAAAAAACAAAAAAACACACAACTTGAATCAGATCTTATCACGTCTCTGCTTAAAACACTCCAGTGGTTTCTACCTGCACTTGGAATAAAATCCAAACTCTTCACTACAACCTAGAAAATCTTTGTTGTTCTACAGATATAAAAAAAAATTAATGTTTATTTTTCATCTACTTGAAAGGCAGAGCAAGAGAGAGAGAGAGAATCTTCCCTCCACCAGTTCATTCCATAAATGAACAGCCAGGCTGGGCCAGGTCAAAGCCAGGAGCCAGGAACTCCACCTGGGTCTCCCATGTGGGAGGCAGGGGCCCAAGCATCTGAGCCATCATCTCTTTCCTCTGGGATGCATCAGCAGGAAACTGGATTGGAAGTGGAGTAGCCAGGACTTGACCCAGCCTAACACTATGGGATGTGGGTGTGCCAGGCAAGCAGCTTCACCCACCACCATCTACAGATGCTTCCTGTTCTGGCCCCTACCACTCCTGAAATTGTCCCCTTGCCTATTCCTCCTTCCTCTTTAGAATTCACCCGCAGGTGGCCAGGGACCGTCCTGTCTGTCTGCCCCACGTAAGCGCCCGTGCCTGGAACAGTCCTCACAGGTGGCCAGGGACCGTCCTGTCTGCCCCACGTAAGCGCCCGTGCCTGGAACGGTCCTGGCACACAGTAGGTGCTCACCCTCGAAGGGGCAAGTCTGCGGCCAATGGAGGTATTTACAAGGACCACTTAAGTCCCCAGGAAACCATCAGTGACGCACGGGCATCTACCAGCTGCCACCTCTACTTATGATTCAGTGTCCTGATTTAAATCAGTGGGAGCTGTTGGCATCCTGGACACTTTAATGGCCCAAGAGATCAGTTATCACCTAGGGTCTGAAGCCAGGAACGAGAGCCCAGCGGTTGTAGCAGGGAGCTAGGAGCCAAGGAACCAGAGAACGGAGCCGCAAGACAAAACTCTGAACTTGCTCCGGGTCCCTCACCAACACACCCTGTGCCTCAGTTTCCCCAGCAGCCGGCCAGGCAGGCCTCCCTGAGTACTGGGAGTGACAGGAGACAAGGCAGTTAGCAGCTGGGGCACACTCAGATAGGAGGTGCTGCTAGTCGCATGTCTCATTATTCCTAAAACTCTTGACTGATGCCAACCCGGGCCCCTCAGGCCTCCCCAGGGGCCAACCTGACAGCAGGTACGGCTGGGTCAAGACACGTAGGGCCTAAGAGAGCTCGGGCGTCCACACCTGCGGGTCTTGGTTCCCAGGTTTAAAGAGGAAGGCGGCTGCGGTGAGAGGGACGAGGAAGAGGTGAGAAGTGGAGTTCCGGGCTCCAAGTGGTTAATTTTGCAGGTTCACGTACACACGCCCCCGGCCATCCAGGTGAGACCTGCGCCTCCAAGGTGTCCCTTCCAGGAACACCCACCAGGGAGGGCTGGCACTGGGACGCACCCCAATCAGACCCCGGGGGACGGCCCCGGGTCAGACCCCGGCTGCATTTAGTTTGGGGAAACCTGGAGTCAGGATGCTGCGAGCCGCGCGCAGGTGAGGGAAGAGACCAGGGGCCAGACGGTGACATCCCCGCGGACGCGGAGGGGTGAGCAACAGGGCCGGGGGCTCGGACACCTGTGGAGACGTCCCCCGGGCGGGGGCGGGGAGGCCCGGGCCAGGCCGGTGAGTCCGAGCGGGGTCGGGGGCGCCCTGCGCGGCCCCTCCCCGGGAGACAAAGGGCCGGCGGCTGCCCCGGGCTCCGGCGCGGCGCGGGCCCGGGCACTGCGAGCATGGGCCGGCCTCGCGCTTACCTGGGCCGCCCGACCCGGCCGGGCCGGCGGGGGCTGGGGGTCCGGAGCGCGGCGCGCGGCGGCCTGTTCCGGGGCGCGCTCAGCCCGAGCAGCCGCGGCGGCGGTAGCAGCAGCAGCGGGAGCGGCCGCCTCAGCCTCCGCCTCCCGCTCCGTGAGTCACCGCGGCGGGGAGGGAGGGAGGCGCCAGGCCGCCGGAGGAGGGCCCGGCGGAGGGGGCGGCATCGGCTCCGCGCGGGCGGCGGAGGCGCGGCGACGGCAACGCCCCGGAGGGAGGCAGGCCGCGGTGGGCCGGGCGCCGGAGGCGGGGCCTGAGGGAGGGGCGGGGCCCGGGGCCCCGCATTGGCTGACGCAGCCTGCGAGGCGGGGTCTTCTCGATGAGGGGCGGGGCCCTATCGGCAGGTGGAGACACTGATTGGGCTCCTTGGGGTGGTGGGCGGGGCCATGCGGGGGCGGGCCGAACGAAGTCGCGGTAGAGACCGAGTCCGCGCGAAGAGCAAAGGGGCGGAGCGGGCGCGGTGGGCGGGGAGGCGGCCCGAGGGAGGAGCGCGGGTTTGGATGGAGCTGGCTCTGCGGTGAGCGACTCTCCCCGGGCTTAGCTACTCCAGGAGCCCGGTGATGCCGTGGAGATAATGGCCTCTCCCACGCACCAGTCTGTATATCCAACCGGCTGCGGTCCGAGGGGACGGGATCCGCCTCGGGCCGGTGTAGCCCGCGCCTCCGGACGCCCCCGCACGGCCGTGGCTGCCGAGCGGTGCGGGCGTGGGCTCCTTCCTCCCTGCGGCGTCGCGGGCCTGGGGCCTTGCTGCCCGGGCGGCGGTCAGGGCCGCGCCAGGGCGCTCGGAGCGCAGGGTCCTGGCGCCGGGCGCGTTTCCGGGGGCGGGGGTCTGCGTCCAGGGCGTTTCCGCGCGGGGTCCGGCTCTGCGGAGCTGCTGCTGACATCCGCCGTCCTTTTAAAGGGACACGTATCTCAAGGTGTGGCCTCGTTTTCAGCACGTTGACTTGCGGGTTGCGTAATGTGGCCCAGCCTGCTGCCCTGAGCCCCCCGCCGCGTGTCTGCCCCCACCCCTACACCTCTTCCCCTTCCTGGGGCAAGAATAGGAAATACTTTTTTTTTTCCTGTTTATCTTCTGAAATTTCCATATAACGCTTTACTTTCAACAGCTGTGTTTGAGTTATTTGAGGAATATTTTCGTTTTTAATCAAAATCATGATATTGTTAACTCTGAAAGGCCAGAGCAGTGTTTCGCAGCCATGTCTGTCCCCATCCGTGCCCAGAGGGGTCCCATGCACAGGGTAGGCGCTGGCCTGCAAGCCTCCCAGAGTAAACAGCGCCCGTGCAAGGAGAGCACTCATTCACGGTGTTCTTTGTAAATGTTGATGTTTGAACAAATCAAAACAGCATGTTGGAGGCCCTCGCTATGGTGTAGCGGGTGAAGCCGCCTCCTGCAGTGCTGGCATCTCATATGGGCGCAGGTTCAAGTCAGGGCTGCTCCACTTCCGATCCAGCTCTCTGCTATGGCCTGGGAAAGCAGTGGAGGATGGCCCAAGGACTTGGGCCCCTGCACCCGCGTGGGAAACCCAAAGGAGGTTCCTGGCTCCTGGCTTCGGATCAGCCCAGCTCTGGCCCTTGCAGACTTTTGAGGAGTGAACCAGCGATCAGAAGATGGCTCTCTGCCTCTGTGGCTATGCCTTTCAAGTAAATAAATTAAAAAAAAAAAAAAATGAGTATGTTGCTTGGTTTTTCAAGACATAGTGTATAAATGATTTTTTTTTTATTTCGAAAGTTATATTTACATATTTGAAAGGCAGACCGACAGGATTCTTCCGTCCACTGGTTTGCTTCACAAATGCCTGCTGGGCCATGTTGAAAGCCAGGAGCCAGGAGCTCCATCCCAGGCTCCCATGTGGGTGGCAAGAACCAAGTCCTTGGGCCATCGTCTGCTGCCTCCCAGCGTGTACATTAGCAGGAAGCTGAGGCCGAACTGGATCCCAGGCATCCTGAAGGGGACACCAGTGGCTTAAGCTGCTGTGCCACAATGCCTGCTCCAAATGATGTGTTTTTAAAGCTACAATGGGGTTGGCCGGCGCCGCGCCTCAATAGGCTAATCCTCTGCCTGCGGCGCCGGCACACCGGGTTCTAGTCCCAGTCAGGGTGCCAGATTCTGTCCCGGTTTCTCATCTTCCAGTCCAGCTCTCTGCTGTGCCCCAGGAGTGCAGTGGAGGATGGCCCAAGTACTTGGGCCCTGCACCCGCATGGGAGACCAGGAGAAGCACCTGCTCCTGGCTTCGGATCAGCGCGGTACGCCGGCCGCAGTGGCCATTGGGGGTTGAACCAACGGAAAAAAGGAAGACCTTTCTGTCTGTCTCTCTCACTGTCCACTCTGCCTGTCTAAATAAATAAATATATGATGGTGGGCCTCTGTACCAACCAACCACCCCTCCAGTCTGATCTTTTTTTTTTTTTTTTAAGATTGATTTACTTATCTGAAAGAGTTAACAGGGAGAAAGGGAGAGACAGAGAGATCCTCCATCCATTAGTTCACACCCCAAATGACTGCAACGGCAGGGGTAGTCCAGGCTGAAGCCAGGAGCCTAGAACCCCATCTGGGTGTCATGGGTAGCATGGCCATTTTCTGTCTAGCCTGATCTTTAGCCGCTTTTGCCAGCTGGGTTCCAGCCACGCCCTGGCTGTCTCCCCAGCCGTCATCGCCAGGAGCTTCTTGTGAGAACAAGTGTGGTGCTCTCTGGGCCTCGGTGGCCCCTTCACCTGCCTGAATCCTTGGTCTTCAAGGAGCCTTCCCGGTGTGTACTGTCCGGTGTGTCCCAGTCCTACAGCATGGCCACACCTCGAAGGGGGGCAAGGACCACGGCACCCTGGCCCACTTCCACCGAGCGCAGTAGTACCTGGCTTAACAAATACTGCAGAATAAGTAAATGTATGAATTCTCACCCAGGACTGCCACTGCTACTGCCAGCCCCTTCTACTGTCTGTTCCCGCCAGCTCCATTGCTCTCAAACCTCCCTCACTACATTTATTCCACATTTCTTCCTTTTAACTTTGGGGAGGGCCTCCCTGGGGTCCCAGAATGTACATGTATCTTTAGATAGTTGCTTTTTGGAGCAAAAACAGCTGTTTCTATATCAAAGGGACAAGTATGACAGGAATATTTTCCAGCCGAATATGAAACGACGGGGAGCAGGCTGCAGGGAGTGAGAGCTACTTCCAACTGGTGTGGCCCGATGGCAGCGTGGTCCTGGGAGTTTACCCCCTCTGAGCCGTCCTGCTCCTGAGCTGAGCAGGTGCAAGGTGAGAAGTGAGAGTGGGAGAGAAAGGAAGGGACTTCAGAGTCTGTTTTTAGTAAAAAGTAAGAACCCCTGGGGCTAGCCACATGGGGCAGCAGGTTACGCTGCCTCTTGCAGTGCCAGCAACCCATACTGGAGTGCTGGTTTGAGTCCTGGCTGCTCCGCTTCTGATCCAGCTTCTGGCTAATGCACCTGGGAAGGCAGCGGGAGATGGCCCAAGTACTTGAGCCCCTAATACCCAAATAGGAGACCAGGATGGAGCTCCAGGCTCCTGGCTTGGGCCTGGCTCAGGCCTGAGGGGTAAACTAGTGGGTGGAAGACCGATCTCGCTCTCTGTCTCTCCCTCTCTTCCTGCTGTCTTTCATTCTGCTTTGCAAATAAAATAAGTCTTTTATTAAAAAAAATTCCTTTTGCTTTCTGAAAACCAAATTTTTAACATGAATTCATAATTTCCAGTAATATAAGAAGGGAAAATAATTCATTTGCTTCGGTTCCTGTTTGTCATCCTGTTTGCATTCGGTGCAGCTCTAAAGTCTCTGAGGACAGACAGACAGTAGGAGGCTGGGGACCCCATCACTTGCCGTCCTCGTGTGCTTGGCCCTGGCCAAGTACCTGTCATCTAATTGTACTTTGGAGATAATAAGGAATTATTACTCACGGCAATGAGTGTTTTGTAGACCAGGGAATATACATATTTTGCACCATGAGTGGTCTATGTGCAGCTGGGAACATTGGGCTCCCTCCCAGCCTGCCCCTGGCATGCTGGTCTCTGCAGCCTCATCAGGGTGTGATCAATCAGGGGTGATTCTCCTGACATCAGAGAACACTGCTGGGGCCAGCGCTAGGGTATAGTGGGTAAAGCCACTGCCTGCAGTGCCAGCATCCCATATGGGCGCTGGTTCAAGTCCTGGCTGCTCCGCTTCCCATCTAGCTCTCTGCTATGGCCTGGGAAAGCAGTAGAAGATGGCCCAAGTCCTTGGGAGACCTGGAGGAAGCTCCTGGCTCCTGGCTTCATGTCGGCACAGCTCCGGCCATTGCGGCCACTTGGGGAGTGAACCACTGGATGGAAGATCTCTCTCTCTGCCTCTCCTCTCTCTGTGTAACTCTGACTTTCAACAACTGTATTTGAATAAATCTTAAAAAAAAAAAAAAAAAGAACCCTGCTGCATGAGCTTGGGAGCAGTGTAAAAATTATTAATTTCTGTGGCAAGTTTTTTTTAAGATTTATTTATTTATTTGAAAGAGAGCAAGCAAGAGAGAGAGAGAGAGAGAGAGAGAGAGAGAGAGAGATTTTCCATTCATTGGTTCACTCCCTAAATAGACACAATGGCTGGGCTATGCGGGGCTGAAGCCAGGAGTTTCATCCAGGTCTCCCATGTGGGTGCAGGGTCCCACATACTTAGCCTAATCTCCCACTGCTTTCCCTGGTGTAGTAGCAGGGAGCTGGATTGGAAGTGGAGCATCTGGAACATGAACCAGCGCCCATATGGGATGCTGGCGTTGCAGGCGATGGCTTAACCTGCTATGCAACGCCAGCCCCATGGCCAAGCGTTTTCACTGACCGACGTGTCTCATCAGTGTATTTTATCTTTGTGTTCTCATCACAAAGTAAAGACAAAGCAATAGGAGTCCAGATACTCAGCCTATCAGCCATTAAGCATAGCAGTCTATTTATCATCTTTTTCCTGCTGGTTGTTGCCCAACTAAGGACAGAGAAAATGACTGTCCCCGGAAGCCAATAGCCCTTACTGTCTAGGAGTAAGTGATAAACTGGCTGTCCTGCCCCGCCCCGCTTCATAAGAGTGGCTGCAACGCTCTCAGTGTATCCAGGTGGGACTGGAAAGACCACTTCAGACAAGCAGTTCCTTCTCCATCCTGCTGAGCCGCAGACTGCTCAGTAGTTCCTTGTTGCAAACAAGTAGCAGAGCCTGTTCCTAGCAGATACTTCTTAGCTCCTGC